TGCAATGGTGAGTGAATTCAAATTTAATGTATATGACTTTCAGAAGAAACATTCCTATATGCTTAGATAATTGGTATGATGTCAATCGAGATGGTTGGCGCTGTCTATTGTCCACTATCACTACTAAATCCTGAACAACGAATCTTGATGCTGTTGGAACAAACTCGATGTCAGCTCGTTCTCGTTCACCTCCGAACGCATGATAAATTCCAAGAGAATACAATTACCCTTGACATCGATGCAGTCCTCAATCTCGATATTGCCATAGATAATTCCACTCTTGATCGACTATCAGCAATAGGAATATCACCAGAAAACATAGCTTTTGTTATTTTCACAAGTGGTTCCACAGGAATACCGAAAGCGGTTAGTACGAAATCCTTTCAATACCGTTTCTTCTATAGGTGACTAGCGCCATCTTATTTGTAGGTTGAGTTACGACATAGAAATTTTAATGCTGCGATTAAATCACTTTTTGAAGTGAGTGTATTTAGCCAGATGGATACGATAGTTCAGATAGCAGATTGCTCATTCGATTCACACATGTTCGAAATTGTGGGATCCTTGATCGTCGGTGGTACGGTGATCATGCTTCATCCTCATGGAAATATGGACTTCGTTTATTTGAGTCATACACTATACAACAAACAGGCTACATTTATGGCAGTTGTACCTGCACTACTAAATAGTCTATGTGATTTCTTAAATCAAGAAAGAGTGTCTTACTTAACTACGATGCGTTCTGTGTGTTGTGTTGGTAAATAACTTGAATGAAACAGTATACCAGAAAATGTTAATATCTTTTTGTGTTATTTTTCTAGGGGAAGTTTTTCAACCCAAGCTTCTTAGCCTTATCAAGAAACACATAATGCAGGAATCTCGCATTTGGAATTTGTATGGCCCAGCCGAAGTATCACTATGTTGCACATATCACCTTGTAGATCTTGGCATGGATCAAAAGGTTATCCCAATAGGTCGAACACTCCCAAACTATCAATGTCTAATTCATGACGAATTTGGACAATCCGTGATCACGGATCAACATGGTGAACTCTTAGTAGGTGGTGTAGGTGTCTTTGCTGGCTATCTCTATCGTAATGATTTGACAGAAAAAGCTGTAGTCGATATTGATAATATGATATACTATCGAACAGGAGATCTTGTTCAAATGGATAGCTGTGGTCTGCTCTACTATATTGGTCGTAAAGATTACCAAGTAAAATTGCATGGACAACGTATCGAAATAGGTGAAATCGAACGATGTTTACTGAACAAAGACGTCTCTGCTTGTATCATCGTGAAATGCGGAGACGACCATTTAGTGGCTTATGTTCAAGGCACAAATATTAATGAAGAAGATTTACGCGAACATTGTTCCTCTCATCTTCCAACATTTATGATTCCGTCGATGTTTGTCGTGCTTGATCGACTACCTCTAAATGCAAGTGGAAAAATAGATCTTGAGCGACTTCCGGCTCCTAACTTCTCTTTGTCGAGTGTACCGGCGAGAACTAAATATGATGCTCCTCGTACAGAGCTAGAACAACGTGTGCATGATCTTTGGTGTGAAATATTAAAAACTTCCGGCAAAAAGATTGCGAGAACGACTAACTTCTTCGCTATCGGTGGTCATTCTCTCCTTTTTGTTCAACTCTACTATGATTATCAGTCTAATTTTCGCTTCGATAGTCAGATAATTTCGATTGCACCTTTTCTTCTACACGCAACGATCGCTGATCATGCAAAATTACTCAATACAGTGAAGTTTAGCGGTATAAAATCCGAAGTATGGAATACACTCCATATCGATGAAGGTAATAATCTTTCTTATGAGCAGTTTGAAAGAATTAAATTCATTCACAAATTTTAGGCGTTGCATCGTTCGCACAAGAACGAGTTTTTCTTGACGAGCAAGTTCGGTTCTCGAAAAGTGTTGCAATATACAATGAGTTGGCAATATTTCGATTGGTAGATGGATCACTGTCAGTTGACCGTCTACAGGAAGCTATGAGGTCGGTTTTGGAGAAGCAAAAAGTACTACGCAGCTGTCTTTATTTCGACAGCAATAAAAGCATCGTGATGCAAAAAGTCCTTCATAACATACACACGGCTTTCACAGTAGTAAACAAGAAAACATTTGCAAACGATAAAGAAATCGATTCAGTACTTCACAACATTATTACTAATCCAACTCTGTTCGATTTATCAAAGGGCAGTGTTGTTCATTGTGAAGTTTTGCGGTATAAATCAGCAAACAGAATTACTGACAGGGATCTGATCATTCCTCCCGATGTACTTGTTTTTGCCTTTCATCATGTGGCATTCGATCGTGCATCTGCTGCAATAGTCTACAAGGATCTATCTATCGCATACAACACTGCTAGACATTTGCCGATAGATCAATATTCATTGCAATACATCGATTATGCCGCACACGAACGCAAAATGGATATGGCAATATCACGTGAATTTTGGCGATCACAAATGGACGGGTATGACTTTACACGTCAGTTGAAACTACCAGTTGATCGAAATCGCTCAAGCATTAATGAACGATCGAATGCTGCTTCCTCGGTGTATTTTTCGCTTGACAATGATGTCTCTATAGCATTTCTGAACTATGCTTCTTCACATAACTTGACATTGTTTCAACTTGGTCTAGCTGCATTTTATGCGTTTTTGTACAAGCTGTCCAACGGTCAAACCGACTTGTGTGTGGCTTGTGTCAATGCTAATAGATATAGAACTGAAATAGAAAATCTAGTTGGTATGTTTGTCGCTACTCTTCCCTACCGTGTTAAACTCGATGCGCATGTCTCTTTCGATCGTCTTGTTGAACAAGTCCGAGAAAAGTCCTTATCAATTCTTGAGCATTCGCAGTATCCACTTCAAGAGATTCTAAGTAATACAGATCATCGAAAGTCGATGGCTACCTTCCTGGAGATCGCATTCGATTTCATCACATTTGAATCAGAAGTCAATCAACCAAATCTTGATGGAGTGAGCATTGAGCCTTTTGGATTACAGAAATGGAAAGAAGTGGCAAAATTTGACTTCATGTTAATCCTCTCTTGCAACGTTACGTCTGAGAGTGAAGGAATATCAGGTTCTCTTGTTTGCTCGCGTGATTTATTCGACGAGACAACAGTTGCAACAATGACACGCCGATTTAAATATCTACTCTTGCAACTTTTCCCATCAAAATCAAAAATGAATCAGATTGATCGATCGCGAAGTCCGCTTACCAGATTGACTCTTGTTCTCCCAGAAGAACAAGAGGAAATGCACCTGATAAAATTTCAACGGTTACTGAATTATACAGATATAGGTATGTATATGGTTTTTATTTTATTAATGCTCATAATGCTGTTTTGATCAACGGATGACGAGTGAAGTCAGGATACCTATAATCTATTTTTGTAAAAGTAATACCAGGTGCTTGTCAGCTATTGTATGAAGTGTGAAAAATAAAAAAAATGTTTTGCTAAGATTTGCTGATGTATCCGAGGATATTAGGAAAAACTTCATGAGTTGTATTAATTTTTAGCAGTGTTCTTTCCAGAGACCAATTGAGGACTCCTTTGTGATCAGCAATTTTCTATGACTGAATCCTGCACTCTACAAACACGACAGAGAACAACTTACATCATGAACAGATGTGCAAAACGTGTGAACTTCGAGTGCTTATCCAAAGTTAAATGTCCTCAAGCTCTAAATTTTGTACTAGACTCTATATTTCTTCCATAGATGCACAAGTACTCAAAGGTCATTTGTAATAATCTCCAGTATTCCCCTTTTGTTGAGACGCCTCTTCTTATAATAAAGGATTTTTGCTGGAATGAATATCTTATTTACACCGATGCTTGATATAACTAGGACCTGAAATATATCAACAGTCTTAACCGATGCCAGTTTAAAAAATAGTATTCATAGCTATTTTTGGAATAACTTAAGGAAGAAAAGAGCTAGAGGCCTATGATTGTCACCATTATATTAGAAAATGAGTTCTTCATATAGTAATCCAGGTGTATTAAAAATCCTTGTAGATTCAGAGTTTCGTCACCATCAATTTTCCAAAGAGTTTGTCCACAGCTTGTTTGGTGTTCTATCACGATTTACATGTGTAAACGATCGGAAAGTTGGTTCGGAGACGCTTGAGGAAAAATGTTACTTTAATCTCTCTACATTTTATAGTTGAAAAAAAAGTGAACGTTTCCTTGGAATCCAGATAAGTATTTTTTCTAAATAGACTTACTTACAACTTCGCATAAGAAATCGCATTACACGTTATGATTTCCTCTATGGAGACTAATATTCTGAATCTTGAGCAATTATTGTAATTAAAGACGAAGGATTAGACAATGCAGGAAAAGCATATCATCAAAATATATTGCTAAAATATTAACCCTTCCAGTCCTGATGGCGCCTTAAGGCGCCACCCGTGTTTTTCTTTTCAATATTAATGTATGGAATTAAACTGATTTTACAGTTCAATAGGCATCAGTAGTACCTTCAAATTGATATATAATATTACTATTGCTTACATTCACAAATCCCCAAAATCTCCTTTTCTGTGATATAGTGACATTCGACATTGGGAATTTTCTTTAGTACTGTTCTGCGTATATTGGATTGTCCTATGTTGTCATCTTCTCATTTTCTTTTTTACGGTATATTTCTTTCATTCTGTGGGATATTCCACCATGTCATTATATATATATGTGATCGTTTCTGTCATTCCACAGTTGGTTGTTCTTGTCCATCTCTTCTATTCTTTCCCCTGTTATTCATTGTTCTTGTGATTTGTTAGATCTCTGTTTATCACGTATTCAAGAAATTCAATATATTCATGTTTCGTTTTCTTTGAAATACGAAATACAAATAAAATTAAGTCACAATTTAAAAAAAACTGATTTTTCAATATTTCGAAAAAAGTCGGGACTGAACGGATTAAAAACAATAACAAAAAAGTGCAGTTTTATGAGAATGAATGGCAAACTACCACCTTTTTCTATGGTTTAGCACTAAATTCTTAGAAAGAATATTTATTTAGTTTCTTTAGTAGTCGTTATGTTACATTAGCTTTCTCATTTTTGATGGTTTGATCTCAATTCACAAGCTTGTTTATTGAATTTTCTTTCCAAAAAAAGTATTAACAATATCCACAAACGTGAACGTACGAATCTATTCACCAGCTCATTGTTGCATAATAAAAATGAAGCCGAGATACACATAAATGATACTAAGAGTACTTATGTAACATAACGACTACCACACAAACTAAAGAAATACTCCTTCTAAAAGTTTAATGCTAAATCATAGAAAAAAAATGGTAGTTTGCGATTCATTCTGATAAAACTGCACTTTTTGTTATTGTTTTTAATATTTTAGTCATATATTTTGATTCTATGCTTTTTCTACTTTGTCTAATTCTTCCACTCTAATTACAATAATTGTTCCAGATCCAGAACATTTGTTTTCATAGAGGAAATCATAATGAGTAATGCAATTTCTTACACGAACTTGCAAGTAAGCCTACACTGAAAACAAAAATGGTACGATACCGAACCAAAAGGGATACTTTGAACGAAAAAAAGGTTTCGTACATAGTACGGAACCTAAAAAGGTTTCGAATTCGTTTCAATTCTCTGAACCATTTTAGGTTCGGTACAGACCACTACGAAAAACTTGAAAAAGTGTCCTGAGTCAATGACAATTAATTTTAGTCACCCAAAGTTTTGTACGAAACCTATTGAGGGTTTCGTATTGTCTTCCTAAATGGTTTGGTACGCTGCAAAAAAATTTGTATGATTACGGAACCATTTAGGAAGACAATACGAAGCCCTCAATAGGTTTCGTACAAAACTTTGTGTGACTAAAATTAATTGTCATTGACTCAGGACACTTTTTCAAGTTTTTCGTAGTGGTCTGTACCGAACCTAAAATGGTTCAGAGAATTGAAACGAA